ACTCGTCAGTCGATCATTAACTGTCAATCATGCAAAGAACTTCGCTTTTCCGTCAATTGCACCGCGAGCTTCTGCGCCCATTTCCCTTCCAACCGATTATCATTGAATATGCCCCGTTCGGTATTGCGGGTGGGCCGGGCTGGATGGCGTCAGTGAGCGGCAGCGAACGAATGTTGTCGAGCGTGCGACATCCATCAGCGACATCATGGACAGATGGATGGGATAGAAGCACAGTATGCGTGTGTGTGTGTGTATGTGTGTGTGGTGTCTGTGTGTGTATGTAATCAGTGCGCTCCTTCTTTCGGTGCGATGGAGGAGAGGCGCGCCAATGATGTCATTTCCTGGCTCCGCCCACTTCACAGTCTTGAACAGTGTCTTTGACTCTCGGCGGCTTTTCGAAGCTAAGATAGAAAAAGTGCGAAAGATACGGGAAACCGATTTCACTACAGTACTAATGATGTCATAGTGTCTAATACATTAAAGCTTTATGTATTGCACATACAGGGTGCACAATAGTGCATACAAATGAACAATACTGTCCAAATAAATATTGCACACGAAAAAATGCGAACAAATTGCACAATGAGCTCGATAACAATGAACAGCGAACATGGCGAGTAGTTCAGACGAAAATCTGGTCACAGCGAACATTCTTCTGGGCTTTCCCAGAAGAGTTCGAAGCCTGTGCTTGAATTCTGTGCTTATTAAGGGTTCGAGGTAGGAATTCGCTGGAATTACGTCTATACTCTTTGATTTCGCAGTCAACTGCCCGAGTGCGGACGCGAACTAATTCTGGCACTGCTATTGTGAGAAATTGCAACAATTGCACAACCATGTCATGAAGAATGCTTTGGAACAACTCAAGAACTACTACTACTACAGTTATCCGCGATACTGTGGGAAGATCCGGGTGAGCACATTAGCCGTAGGTGGGAGATACATCGTTGGTCGGACTGCTACTGGTTGAGGAATTATCGGTCGAAAGAAGATCTGAGGTGGTCAAGGATGGAACCACGGGAAGTGGCGGTATCGTTGCTGGAAGCGCTGGAGCTGGTGGCGCTGGCGCAGCCACCGTGGCAAATCCGTCTGACATCAGCTGAAAAGACACAAATTTTTCAATTCTGACTTTTTTCTACGACCTTTATAATTTAGCCGTTTTCTTCGATGAAGCCAAATCATCATGTGGTAACACAGTTATCGATTTTACGCCTATTCAATCAATACAGTTTTTCGCGCAGTTTGACGAAGGCTGCCATTGGATCTCATTACAGGTTATACGACGCGTCTACAAGTTGGACAACTCGTCCAAATCAGTAAACGACGCAGTTTAGCCTGTGAGTGGGGGGGGGGCATATTGCACTATCGCACCGCCGACATGCTCAATGCTTCAGAAGAGCGCTACAAATTACAAGCAAAAGGAAAGCCGCTGACAAGTGGTTCCCGACTCTGAGTGGCACTTTCGTCGGCTTAACAAAATCTCCGACATGCGCGAATACGTCTGATTGGCTGTAGTTGGAATATGCAAATGCTTCTACCCGCGGACTGCACTTAATCTACTGGCTAATGTATTTGTGGTTGCTGGGTCTCACAAATCCAATAGTTCAATGACCCGGACGAGTTGTCCTGGCAGAAGGACATATGTGAAGGGCATTGTGGTAGCGCCAAACGAAAATCTGGTCGTTTGGAGAAGCTGTATTGGTACGTGTTAACGTAGGTACTATTGATTTTACGCGGATTTAATCGATATTTGAGAGGACAGAATGTGATGGGAGTCAAATCAGGAGTTTTAAAGACACATGGTACGCTCAAACACACATTGAGGGTGTATGAGACTAACAGCCCCCCAGCTGTCGATGTGTCGTGGTCCCCCCGCTCAAACATGCCCAGGAATGGAGATACAGGACCGTGGGAAAGGCTTATTCCTTGCTACTCCGCCCAAAATTCACCGCGCGCGCGGCGAAATGCAACTCGCGCGCGGTGAATTTTGGGCGGAGTAGCAAGGAATAAGCCTTTCCCACGGTCCTGTATCTCCATTCCTGGGCATGTTTGAGCGGGGGGACCACGACACATCGACAGCTGGGGGGCTGTTAGTCTCATACACCCTCAATGTGTTTGAGCGTACCATGTGTCTTTAAATCGTAAATGACTATCAGGACTTCTATGACAGTTTCGGAAAACTTACAATTGCTGAGGAGTTGTATTGTCCTTGCTTGTAAGGTTCATAGCGTCCACCAAGGCACATATGCAAGAACTTCTCGATGAAACCACACTGCGCCAATCGATTATTGGCCTGAAATTCGAAACGTTCGAAAGGAGGTACAAGTGAGGAACTGGATAAAAACGAATACTAAGAAGGTCACTGGTTCTCTCCGTTACGATGGCAACCCTTCTGGGAAGATGAGGTTAAGCAGGCGCTACCTGAAACAGGAAGGTGCGCAAGTCCAGTAACTCCGACCTTACTAACGCTTAGCAATGTGCCTGAACAGCTTTTAAGTGCGTTTATCTTCGCGATCCGACTTGTTTTGGATCGTGCGATCCGACGCCTCAAGCGCTTGAACGCTTGTCGCACTGGAAATTATGAATGCGCTCTTAACTAGAGTGTTTTGAGAATTTCTACTGACATTATCACGGACGGGTATACATCGTGAGGTAAGAATATGAATTTGTGGGTACGACTCTCTCTCGAAGGAGGAAATGTCGATAAGACCCCCCACTCAAATCGAGGTCTCGGTCCGCTATACAAAACCTACCTACCAATTTACCACATTTTCCGGTTTTTCACCCGAAAATTTTCCGTCGAGAGGGGAGCGGGTGGGAAGGGGGTATGTGGCCAATAAGATTTTCGAGCGGGGGGTGGGGATGGTAAATTAATACATATGACTGAAACAGGAAAATCACGGAAAGTCAACGAAAAGTCAATTAGGAAAATTTTTCCCCAACGCGGCATTTCCTCTCAAAGCCATACACAACGCCCCCTCTCTCCAATACGATCAGACGCAAATACGACCCCCCCCTGCCCATCGGAACGGAAAAGTACGGCCCCATGTGTCACACAATGGTGCTGTATCTCGATTCAGGAACCGAATTGCCTCTGGGGCAAAGTGCAGGGAGATGTATGACAGTAGTTAGATTCGTGCAATTACAGAAAAGATCGCTTGTGCCATAATACTGATAGCACTTGAGCACCCACCTTCCTAAAGCCGTGTCCCTCGTCCGGATAAAGGACGTAGCTCACAGGGATGTGGTTCTTTTTGAGTGCTGCCACGAATTGGTCTGAAAAAGGTGTTTCAATCATGAGCTTCCAAAGAAACCAAAACACACCCTGTTGTTCACGTAGCAACTTCAAAGAGCACTCACCAGACTCCTGTTGCTTGACGCGAGGATCATTGGCTCCCTGGAGAATCATCAGTGGCTTTTTCACACGATCAGCGAAAAACAACGGAGAACGAGCAGTGAGCGATTGTCGGCCGGCCTCACTGGAAACATTGAAACTCGTATAAAAGCGAAATATTTGAGAAATTTGCATGTGATTCGATTAAGGCTCACTTATCAATATCGCCTCCCATCATTCGAACGAGATCTTTGTGGAAGCCACGCCAATATGGTGGGACTGCCTCAAGCAGACTGACGAGATTCGACGGACCAACGATGTCCACACCACAGGCAAACTCGTCCGGAGTAAATGAGAGCGCAACCAGTGTCTCGTAGCCACCATAGCTTCCACCTTCAAAAGTTGGTCATAGTTTTCATCTAATTCCTCTGATTTCCTCATAACTGACAGAAGCTAGGTATAGGTAAAGCCACCGATTGTGCAGAAAAGACCCAGTAAGGAGCAGGTGGCAAGAGCAACAGTGAGTGAGAACGTAGTAGGCCGCTGCGGCCACAGTAAGCGGAGGCGAGCGACAGCACGCCACCAAGGGCGACAGTGGCCCAGAATGGGTCTGACCGTTTTTGCACCCAGCAAGCGCTGCTTTGCAACACTCGACAACAAAAATCCTAGGTAATAATCAGTGGTACTGAATGGTACTTCCAAAGAGGAACTACTCATTAGCAAGAATTAGGGCCGAGCGACGGCGAGCGACACTAAGCGATAATGAGCGACACCAAGCGAAACTTGGCGACGGCGTGTGGCATAGCCGGAGTTACGTGTGGATGAGGTGACCGGCGACAATATGCAAACGTGTGGTCATCAAGCGAAGAGGAAGCGACCGTGGATTTTATGAATTCACAGACCCCAAATTGTGATCTCTGAGAGGAAGTGATGCAGTAGAGAGGAGGTGTGGCACGAGGTCACCACGCGACGTCGCCCACGCAGCTTTAGCGGCGCCAGCGGTGATGAGATTAAAAGCCACCCCTTCCGCTCCTCAGGTGCCACACTCTGTCTCGCCACCCTTGCATTTATACCGATTCCCACGGTTTGTGAACTTCTCGTTTTGCTGCGCTCGCGTATTCGCGTCAATGCGCGGTGGCCTTGCTACACAGGAGAAGTTGGAGAGAAACGTCAATGTATCAAAAGGAGAAATTATCTGCTGATTACTTACCCATGATAGCAACTTGGGATTTGTTGGTGATGCCTTTTGCCACAGCGAATTCAACCGAATCCAATATGTCGAAGTGCATCTTTCGGCCCCATTCCCCATTTCCAGCATTCGTGAGGCGTTTGCCAAATCCGACACTTCCACGGAAGTTCACCTGAAATTTCCCCAGTCAATTATTATGAGCTGGTAATATTTTAGCCACAAGTAGCAACTCACTTGGAGTACCGCATAGCCTCTGTTGGTCAGGAAAACGTTCATACCGGAGAACCCATAATGATCTCTGGCTTTTGGACCTCCATGAACCAGAACGACCAGCTTCTGAGGTTCGACAGGGAGCATTCCAAGTTCGGCATAGCCTCGATCAGCAGCCGGAACATCTTGAGCAGTTTTCAGAGCAGCCTGGAAAAGGATCACTTAGCGCACTCGGAGTTACTACAGATCACGTCACAAAATAGACATTTCGGCGCAGGCGTTAGGAGGCGCATTTGCACTTTCCCCACTTCTTCGGTAAAACCAGCCTCTCACTCTGGTGAAATCTGTGAACTCTTGTGAAGCTGGACAGGTTCGTCGTGCCACCATGGCGAAACCTGTCTACTCTTGTAAGTTCCTGAAATAATTCCCTAGATGGCTTGACACGCCGACTGAAGTAGCGAAGTTTTCAAGTAGCCCCCTTCCCCTGTTCGTTGAAACTGCGCCCATTTTTATCTAAATTCAACCTCATCCTGGCAGGACTAGTAAGCCTGCAAGACCATGTCGTCTCTTGTCTTGAAATCGAAGCCGACCTGGCGATTCATTGTATATTTTTCCAGATCTGGGTGAGTGTTGAAGAGGAATTCAGCCTGAAAAAAGGAAATCATGGTAAATTATGAATTTTGAGTTCAATTTTCGATGTGAAATGAAGCCCCTCGGTATATCTGTCGCTCGCAGGGATCTGCACTTCATCTCGGTTCTCCACGGCACAGTACCACTCACCACCACTATCATTAACACAAACATTTTACTGCTCAGTACAGTGCCTTCATCGCAGCTGTTCATCAACGTTACTTATTAACGCCTTTGCTCACCCTGACTGAAGCACCATCACACCTGCCAATCTCTTCTTGGGCTACGGCTCAGCCAAGGGCATGCGTTCATCTTCGCGATGACGCGAGTATCGACGCACTGTAAACGGCTCGTGTAGCACTGCTCGACGCGCGTTATACGCGCTGCCACATCACTCAGTGCTATACGCGAGCGCGACCGCAGACGGGAATCGATCGGCCGCATGCCGCTTGTGTTTTGAGAGAGCATGGTAGACAGGAGGGTACGGGTTGCCTAATCACGTAGTCTGATGTCAATCGGCACTGGCTGCTAGTGCTTCGAGAGAGCATAGAGGAACAGTAGGGTACCAGATTATACCATCTCACGTGCAGAAATCAATTCCCATCTGCGGCTGTTTTCGCGCCTACAGCATCGGTAGCACGTCGACGCGCATTACAACGTGTTACAGCGCGCCGACGCGAGTCATCGCGAAGTCTGAACGCTGCCTCAAATCGATTGGCATCGCTATTTTTCTTCCACTACTGCGTACTATCCCATAATATCACGTCCCATCTTCGGCGTCAACTTGGAAATACAGAATGCCTCACCGTTTTCACCCAGCTCCGGTACAGGAAAACCTCGTGAGGCTTGTCTGACGATACGTAAGTGACGAGCCATGTTGTCATATCTGAACCATTATAGTAGTAGCAGAATATCAAAGGTACAAATTCAAGTGAAAGGCGAGAAGAGAACTGACCTAAGCTCATAGAAAGAATCTGCAGCGAGCCGTGTGGTCGGAGATTCACCAGATACTGTAGATCGTCCATAACTGTATCGTTGGCAACGAATAGCTCCGGCTTGTGATAAACCTAGAGAATTCTAGCTCAGTAACTGCTTCTTGAAGTAACTGACAATTGCCATTGATGGTTTACCTACCTCAGTGACGGCTAGCAAGGTCTTGTCGGTCGGATGGATCATAATGGTACCGATTTGGGCACGCGTAGCCGTGTACAGCACTTCTTTTTGATCAACAGCGTCAAATGGGAACATCACCAGGGATCCTAAATTAGCTTCTTTTGTAAGCACGACTGTGCAACCATTCATTAGGAGTTACGTTTATACTCGGCGAATGACGGCAATAGTGTTCATTTTGTGGAAACGAAAAGAGGCAGAATTGTCAAAGACAAAGCGCCCTAAGCTCATCTTCGAATGCGAGGCAGGACAATCGTATCATGCCGCGCTGGTGGGCGTAGCGAACGACGCCGCTCTCGATGGACGAATTGTCCTGCCTGCTTCTCTGGAACTGAATGTTGAAGGGACAGGAAAACTCTATTTTGCTCGTCATGGGGTCATGCTCCTGAATTCATACGAGCCCGATCGACAAACTGAACCAAAAGAACAAGAGCTAGCCGCACATCGCCGCACGATGCGCCGCGCGCGACGACGCGACATATCGAATTGTTTTGTGCGGCTCCCATCATCTTCTGGGTCCCCTGTACTGAAGCGCTTTCTGAATTTGTAGGATAACTCGAGACGATCGCCGATCGCCCAGTATAATCGTCTCCTAC